CTTGCACCTCCATTGGACACCGACACATATGTGCACAAGGCCTCCCATTTGTCTCGACCCGGTCTGAAAGCGGGGAAACTCTTTTGTAAATCGTCGGTAAACATACGTTTGCGCTTTTGCATGTTGTTGGCGTACTGACAGCCACGCAATCTATATTCTGATTAAGAACAGGGCTGCACGCACTGACGTGGCTCAGGGATTACGTCACACGCAGCGTTGTGTGCAGTGCCCTAGCGCCTGTAAATTTAATGGTCCAATTAAGGTAATTTAAAAAATCAGGACATTTTCTCTCTTTCTATTCGGGAAATACGGAAGTTTGGTCACCCTAGCCATTCATATATATATATATATATATATATATATATATATATATATATATATATATATATATATATATATATATATTTATGTATAGTTCTTTTTGTTTTTTTTTCACTGCCCAGGGAGCAGTGTGAGGTTAGGGCTCTTTGCTCATGGACCCAGTGTGGATTGAACTCAGAGCCTTTCAATCGCAATGCTCTAACCACTAGGCCGCCACTCCGAACATGGTGGCCTGCTTGAGATTAAGAGCTAAATCAATTTCAATGAACCAATTAAAGATAGGGATATTCAATTATTATATTTAGGATATAGTACAGTATAGCAGGTAAATATATTAGCTAGAATAATTCGATTTTGCGTCAAATCAGTACCGGTAGGGGGCGGTAATGCGCATTCAAGTTGTTTGGCAACCACCTTTAAACCAAACAAAGAAGAAGATCCCAACAAGCATCACGCGTCGCTAGCTGCATTAACGTTTTTGGTTCTTCGGTTATCTCCGCCGTAGTTAACAAAATAATGGTAACCGGTTCTGTTCCGGGGAGCCATGTCAGAGCCGGGGACAGCAGCTGCTGCAGGTAGCCCTCACTTCCCTGAGCTGTGGAGAAAAAACATTGAAGTTGACCACGACACAAGGCAGGCTAGGAGAGATGCAGAGGAAACGCCTGCAGCAGTAACATCACCTGGCAGAAACGGTGGGGACGCAGATCCATTAAGATTAATGTAAACTCAGCCATGTAATGAACTGAAAAGTTGAGAAAAATACAGGTTTCTAAGTTTAAGTTAAAAAAAGTCCTAAAATCAAAGGTTCAGCTTTAATCCTGGAATAATGCAGAGTAATTAGCCTGAATCTACCCACAAACAATCAATAGTAAGTCCTGTTTAAAGGGCCGCTTTCTCCTGCAAACTAATATGCTGAAATCATGCATTTTTGTCGATTGTTTTCATCTTTAGCTCCATTACTTTTCACAGCAGTGTGAAGTGACCGTGTAACCCATCTCTCGTGTTTGCACAGATCTTCTGAGTCCTCGGTTCAGAGGCAGCAGCAGAGGATTCAATGCTGCAGAGTCTCCAGGAGATGGAGAGTCTTCACAGGACATTTTCTGGGATAGCGGGTCTCCAGCTCAGGCCGGTGAGAAACCAATGCTGTTACTGTCACCTTATCTCTACAGGCTTTCAGCTGTGCAGCTCCTAAAAGAAGAAGATTGTAAAACAGTAGGGACATGGGCGGTTCTAGACAGGGGCCAGTTCCCCTGTAGACCATGTCCTGGCCCCTGTTATGGCCCCTGCACTGAAGACATAATACTCAAAGAAATTCTAATCATGATATGCGCTGGAATAGACGTGGTTACTGATAGGTTCTTTGGATCTATTTAATATTTTTTCTTAACAAATTATGTTTTACTGATTATTTAAAACTAATAATGTGATAGCTTCAGTGGGATTGAGATAGGATCCCAGTTTTCATCTGCTAAATGTTGTTTTCAAAACAAATAAAAAAATGCTCTAATTTTTACAGCTGAATTTATCGCTTTTTCTTGATATTTTTTTTTATTCTGATTTTATAGACAACGGCCATTTTAACTTAAATTAAGTCAAAAATATGTAAAATTCCTAAATTATATATTATAAATATAATTCTAATTAAACCTAAATGAATAGAAATTTCACTTCATTTAGCTCTGTTGATATATTTGAATCCCCTGCCCTGTTTTTTATTCCATGCTTTTCTGTGCCCCCATGAAAAACACTGGCCCAGGGACATTTGGTCAAGAACCGCCACTGTATTTACCAATCATTTCTACTGTAAACATCTCTACTAGGGGTCCACCTGTTGCAAGTTTCTGGCTGATCACTGATTACTGATATCTAAAACTTTCTGATATCTAAAACTTCAAAAAAAAAATCTTGAATATTCCAATTTGGACTTTTTTTTCATAACTGACACCATCAGCTGATGAGAAGAGATCTTCAAAATTTCAACCTTGTCTTTCTGAAACACATTGAAAAATAGCCATGAAACATTAAAAGCTTTCTTAACTGCCCATTAGGTAGTGCTCTCACATATAAATGCTCAAATTTATGCTTTATATTCATGCAATAAGTTTAGAGCACTCACAGCAGAACATTTCAGACCTTTACAAAGGTAGAGATCTTTAAAATGTTAATTTATCAGTTTCACACCTAAGTATTGATCTTAAAAACAATTAAAATCTGTTTGGCTCTTTTTTTTTGGCATCAAGACAATTATTCTTAATTCCAGATAGGACACTGTGAAAAACAATTATGAAAAAAATTATGTTTGACTTAAAACCGAGGCAAATTGTGTGATAAAAAGTGGGTAAAATATCATAAAAACATTAACTATACTTAATACAGAGTGGGTTTACATAAAGTGATCGTTGTGGTAAGAGCCTGTTTCTGAAAATGGATTGCATATATGCATGATGCGCTATTATCTCATTTGCAATGGGAAGTAAAGTGACCTTTTTTTTATTTTTGTCTAGTAAAGTAGATAAATAATTAAATAGGAAACGTGTGGCAACATGGAGCGAGGTGTTACGTTCACAGCTGGGAAACAGTGCGATAATTTAAAAGCCAGTTAAATAAGACAATACATGTGTATCTGTCACATCGTTACATCAAACACCGTCTCCCTGGGCCCTGGTATAATTAAGTTTTTAAAAAAAGTAAAAATGTCAGAAAATGCGTTTTCCTGAAAATTTAAGGGAGTGTGGATTGATTTCGCCGGCGCAACAGGAAAATTAAGGTGAGCGCAGAGTGGATTTTTAGTGGAGCGTCCTGGCACAACTTTGAGTGAATGAGCGAAGATCCTCCTGAGCGGGGAACGGGAATTGCATGGCACTCTGCTCCGTTCACATACTCCGATGAATAGATGAATCTATCGTATATATTTTCAATAATCGATGATGATCGATGATCAGATAGTAAAAGGCTCCTAAAAGAAGACTTTTTGTGAAATTTAACCAGGTGAAGCTATGACTTTCCACTTCAGGATTTCTGGGTGTAACATATAGACGGGCAAAAAAATATGTATCTTAAAAGCAAAATGTTAAAAAAAACAAAAACAAATTTGTGATAATTTTTATATAATTACTGCTCTAAGTGGGTTGCTCTGTCAGCTAAAGGCACGTTCTAGAGTCTACACTCCATTACAATCAGTTAATGATTACTTGATTGCTTAATTAGCTAACAGTTATTTCAATAATCACGATTAATCCGAATAATTCTTTCAGCGCTATTGATCGGTGTACCCCTAGTCCTGTTGATGAAAAACCAATCACACTTTGCACTGTATGAAGTTAGGTTTAAATTAATGTTTTTAAATCTAGACTATATAATTTAAATTGTACTTCTTCTTAATAACCACTTAATGTCCTAACCATTGGGTCTGTACTTCTAGATTAACAAGATCCGCAATCCCATTCCTGCTGAAGCCCCTATTGATTCATATAAAATCCATTGTCACAAAAAAAGGATTCGCCCCTTGTGAAAGTTCTCTTTTGACTTTTATATATATATATATATATATATATATA